CGACTCCTGCAGAAAGGAACGACCACAAAATATCCTGAATTCCTGCGCATGCAGGCATCGAGGGCAATGAAGAGGCTCATCAACTAGCTCGCGCGTCCCTTTCCTTTCTCCGCGAATCTTCTGACGTCCCTCCACATATACACGACCGTGGCTATGCCCCCGCCTGTGATCAGGACACGGCTGCCCAAACAGATCAAGGATACGACCCGGATAAAGAGCGGGCCCAGAATAAAGAGCACTACCGTACTACACTGTGGGAGAAACTTACTCCGAACGCAGATCCCATTCCCCAGGGTTCCGGCAGACGAGCCAGCGTTCTCGTCACGAAAATACGCAAGGACACCACCTGCACGCCCGCCCGCATCGCATCATGGAGCAAAGCAACCAGGTCTGGAACCCGTTCAAGGTACAACATAGGCAAGGCCGACACTCACCACATCCTATGGGAGTGCCCCACATCAAAAGAACCAAGGACAAAGCACCGACCCCCAGACATTACCTCCCTGGAGGGATGAACCCCAGGATAACCAAAGGAGAATCCTGAGTGGCCTTCTAGATTTTATCTACGAGGCCAAGTTAGAGATCTTCATCTAATCCCTTCCCTTTTAGTTCGTGCCAGCGTCCAGACCGCGTAGTTACCGACGCCCTCCCTCTCCTTTTCCCAATAGATTATGGCCAATGAACACATTATGAACTGAACTATCATCTTCGCCATTGTCGTCGTTGGTCCGTGGAACTTGGGAGCAGCGTGCAATGTGCACACCGCCTCTGGCCACGACAGACAGACCTTTGGCAAGGAGAAAGACTAAAATTTATAGGATCATCATTTCAAAGCGTGAAAGGCGTAGAATAAATGTCCATGCAGGTAAGAAAGCTGTTCCCATATCTGTGACGACAAATATATTTCTATGCTGGGCCCGCCCAGACAGCATCGGCAGATGACAAATATATATTCGCATTAGAAGAATAGATAGTTGGGCGAGTTGGTGGGAATTCATCGCATCATAGTCATCTAATGGTACCATAGAATGAAGGGTCGTTATCGTGTGCCTTCCTAATCAAATTCTTCAGTTGATAGTCATGGCTCGTTCCGTGTTTCTCCTTCGTCTACGTTGACGTGTTTTCGCGCCGTTTTCACGGTGAATAGATACGCACTATTTCTTACAAAAATAAGCCACGAGTTTCAATTGATTTTTAATGTATTTTATAAGAACACTTCAGAAACCCAATTGAAACTCATTGATAATTTTTGTGAGGGATATCTTCCATTTTGAGGTATCATTCAGCAAAACAGCGCAAGGACTGGAGCAGCGAATAAAAATTACGAATCACCAGAGACCGACCTGTCTATTCTAATGATGAGAACAGAGAAAATGCAAGTTTAGTGCCGCGGGCTTAACTTGACAGCGAGCTTTGACGAGGTGCTGATTCCGTTTCTGCTTTGATTATAAGCGCCCAATGAGGAAATTTGGAGAGCTGGGCTCTGTTCGCATTTTCTGCTGGGCGGCCGACCGTTTGAAGAGGCCGAAGCAGAGCGCGGGAAACAGTTACAAAAAACAAACGCATCTCCACGTGGTGAATGATGTTGATTGGGGCGAAGCTCTGGTGGTGCTTGTCTGCGTAGACGCTGAGCCGCAGCATGCCAAGCCTTTCGTTCGTTTTCATCCATGTCACGCTGCGGTCCAATGCTCAAATGCGTATATAACCACGTTCCATACCACACATTCTCTTTCTGACATGGATGAAAACGAACGAAAGGCTCGGCATGCTGCGGCTCACCGCCTACGCAGACAAGCACCACCAGAGCTTCGCCCCAATCAACATCATTCACCACGTGGAGATGCGGTTGTTTTCAGAGCGCAGCTCTTAGGGGCCCGTTTCCGGCTTGAGCGGCGTCGGCGTCGCCGTCGCCGTCGGCGTAACCGCGCGGTGCATTATGGGTAAATTTCCCCGCTAAATCTAGCGGAAAAATTTCCCCGCTAGATTTAGCGGAAAAATTTCTCCGCTAAATCTAGCGTAAAAATTTTCCCCGCTAGATTTAGCGGAAAAAATTCTCCGATAAATCTAGCGGAAAAATTTCTCCGCTAAATTTAGCGGAAAAATTTCTCCGCTAAATCTAGCGGGAAAGATGCCCCGCTAAATTTAGCGAAAAAATTAACCCGCTAAATCTAGCGGAAAAATTTCCCCGCTAAATCCAGCGGAAAAAATTCCGCGCTAAATCTAGCGGAGAAATTTCCCCGCTAGATTTAGCGGAAAAAAATTCCCGCTGTCTAGCGGGAAAATTTTCCCGTTAAACCTAGCGGAAAAATTTCCCCGCTAAATCTAGCGGAAAAAATTTCCCGCTAAATCTAGCGGAAAACTTTTTCTGGGGGGTCACGTGACCCCCAAGGTCACATGACCCCCCCCCCCCCCCCCCCCCCCACCCCGAGTACAGGTAACCCTCAGTACCCTTCCCTCCTCCTCCTCAAGAGCTGCGCTCCAATTCGGTGTTGCAAGGAGTTGTAAACGGCTTTCATTTTTTTTTTTTTTTGCCCTACGCGAGCAATTGCTTGTGACCCGACGGCGGACGGACATACGGGCATGGCTGTAAAGGGGTATTCACACGAGGGAGAAATTCCGGGGATTTCTCCCCGGCACGCGCGCATCACGAGATAAAAACGCGAGGCTTTTGCACATCGCAAATCCTGACGTTTTCGTCGTGGGATGTGCGTGCCGGAGAGAAAACTTCAGAGGCCATTTGGTTGTGTGTATGTTTATACAGCCTAGAACAGTTCTAGGCTGTATAAACATACACAGAACCCAATGGCCTCCGAGATTTTTCCGCGCTCTGCTTCTGCCTGTCCAAACGGTCGGCCGCCCAGCAGAAAAAGCGAAGAGAGCCAGTTCTCCGGATTTACGGGCGACTTGTCTCCCAGCTGTAGATGAGAAATTTTGCCAGTGCAGTACAACCGCTAGCCTGGGGTCTTTAACGTGCCCGTAGTGATACACGATCGCACGCCGGTACGCTGCCTATTCCGATTGAAACGAGTAGGAGTGGGGATTGAACTCAGGAACCCTGGGTTCTGCAGCGCGAGCTTCCGCTCTACGTGCTCCAAGCTGTTGTGTGCGAGCCCATTCGGCCACCGATTCCTTGCCCACAAGTAAAAAACGAAAAAAAAACGCGAAAGCCACCGGGACCCATTTCGGCAAGCTTGCGCCGTGCTCAAAAACTAAACCATCGCCGAGAACAAACAAACAAAAAAATACAGCAGGGGTTGCGACGCTTAATTAGCCTAACGTGACAGGGGTTCCAAACGCAAGACTAAACAAATCCCAACCTCGCTGGACAAATGGGTAGTAATTAAAATAGAAAAAAAAAAAAAACACAATAGCGCAGGGAACACGCGGGCATGCGGAAAGCAAAGAGCTCACATTCCGAAGACGGATGCAGAAGCCGAGGCGCAGGACCAGCGCGCCAACGCCGAGAAGAAAAGACGCGTCCAGACGGGTTGAGAGTTGGAGCCAAACTGTTTATACAAAGAAAAAAATGAAAGACGTTTACAATCCTCTGTAACGTCGAATTAGAGCGCAGTTCTTGAGGAGGAGGAGGAGGGAAGGATATTGAGGGGAGAAGGTGGAAAATACACCACTACTAACATGGGTGTGGATAGACGTGTGCTTAACGCAAATCGCAGAAAATGCACATCTTTGGTAAGAGCATCGCGTGTAAATTTGGCGGGAATTTAGTGGTGCAATTTTCCCCCTAAATTTAGCGGGACTTTTTTCCACTAGATTTAGCTAGCGGGGGAATGTTTTTTGCTAAATTTAGAGGGGAATTTAGCGTCATCATCATTGATGACGTCATCAGTGACGATGACGATGACGTCATCCTCATCGCCATCTTCATCGCTCGGTTACGCCGACGGCGACGTCGCTCAAGCCGGAAACCTAAGAGCTGCGCTCTAAAGGAACGGGGTCGAGACCTTGTGCCAGGAACTCCAGTGATGGGGCAGTGGCGCTATCTTGGTATGCACAGACTAACTAAACAAAAAATAAAATACTACACTTTACTCGGTAGTCACAGCGGGCGAGGTATTGAGCGCGCCCCACGCCATATGAGCAACCAGAATAACAAAATCAAAAGCGAGCCCTCCCGCTCGAGACTCGAGACACGCATAGCTCGAGGCAGTGCTTCATGGCAACCGTATGATCGCACAAGCCACTCAGCCAGGCAATCTTCGATTAGAACACCTCAGATAAGGTCTGCTTCACGTCAACTAAAAGAGATCCTGCCTACCATGAACGTCCCATGGAACAGTAGGTCTCCAGCTATTGAACATGGTAATGCGAGCGACTCGTCACAAGATTTAACTTACTCGACGCCCCTCCCATCGCACAAGATATATCGAGATGCTCCCTCCGCGCCCTTTGCTGCCATCGAACACTCGAAAATTCGTTATAAGGAAGAGTCTGGTGAGGCCTCTACATTTGAATCGTCCAGCGACATCGAAGAATGGAAGTCTACGTCTTCAAACACAAGCCGTGGCGAGCACCAAGGAACACCTCTGGCAAGCACCTTTTTCAAGGGGCCTTTGATTTCTGGGAAAATGAAAACATCGAAGCATCGAGACAAGCTACACCTCAAGTCGGACTTGCGAAGGGCTTGTTCTACCGATATGACAGCCAAGCGTGCCAGTAGACAAGTCTCCGAGAACCCCACCTTCCTTTCCAGCCACAATGCTGACCGTCATCCAAAAAGGACCTCACGAGCGCACACGATCTCATGCACCCCAAAACGCTTTCAAAAGAAAGTGATTCCAAGCCTGAAAAACAACAGCATGAAATCCATCAACGCCACAATTCAGCCCGTGTCGTCCGGTAACTTGGGGCTAGATGAGACGAATGAAACGTCCACCGGGGAAGCTTGGAAAGAAATGGAATTCCCGTTACCTGAGCGGAACGTAAGTGAGTTACACCTCTCTTCTGCCAGGTGTTCGATGGGAGACTGGATAGATCCAGAAATGCACATCAGCTATTGCCGCAGAAGCTGGAATGAGGAAATGCAACCTGGCCCTAGCAGTGCGGCCAGGCATGAAGATTTGGACCGTGCTGCCGGAAATGCAGAAAACGCTGTCTTGAACCCAGTATTGGGCGAGCGAAGGGAACGGCTGCTTGTGAACAAGGAACTTTGTCTTTATCCGCTGACTTTCCTCCTCGCCATAGTATCCGCGGCCCTCCTTGTCATGCTCGTGGCACCGAAACAAACACCAGCGACCCTTTCTTCAGGGACCTCGGTGCACAAGAGTTGCAACTCCGCTATCTGTCTCCAGGACGCCGCCTACCTGTCCAACTTGCTGTCGTGGGAGGTGGACCCGTGCGAAGACTTCTACAAGTACGTCTGCGGTCGCTGGACTAATGCAGTTCCAGCACTAGGTGCGGACAAGACAGCTTCCTCCGATGACGACTACGTGGGTAACCTGGAGAGCACAATACATGGGCTACTGCAGAATAGATCAGAAAAGAGTGGCCTGATTCGCCCGCTTCAGAGCCTTTTTGACCAGTGTGTAAACGTCAGCCGCATAGAGGTAGCTGGCTGGGGTCCTCTCCTGGAGGTCATGTTTCACGTTTCTCTCGAGGGCTTTCCGATCACGCCACCGGTCCGCAGCAGCGTATCCGTCTGGAGAATGGCAGCTCGGATACTTAGGAAAACGGGTGCTGCGGCTTTGCTGAGCGTCGGGGTTGTCTCGCATCCGTGGAACACGAGCTCTGACATTGCCTCGCTTGGACCCCCCGAGGCTCTTGTCACCATCGCTGGAATAGATATGAATGAGGCAATTCGTCATTACACCACCGGGGCATTTTCCTCGCTCAGAGCTCTTCGAAAAGAATTTCTACCTCCCGTTTACACTTTAGATATCGCCAGATTTGCGAGCGATCTCGAAAGGCTTTTTCAACAGAAGACAAATATATTCAACTTCAAGGTGGAAAAAATGGATTCGGGATCACCTTTGTACAGCTTTCTCAGTGAAGTGTTTGCCGGAGTTCCAAATGCCATCTACAGTGGCCCCGAATCTGAAATATTAATATATAATCCCGATTTTGTATTCAGTCTCGTAGAACTTGTTCAGAAGACTGAAACTCATACTGTGATGAATTTTTTGGGCGTACGGCTCATGGTGCAAACATCGGCGCTTCTACCCCAATCAGAGCTTGTGGACGTCTTTAGCAGTTTGGTCTACGGCAAGCTGCGAGCAGGACTGCCGCGATGGAAACTTTGTCTTCGCGTTGTGGAAAATGCTCTGACGCCTCTCTTTCATTTCTTAGCACTTGTTCACTTCAGTCTTCACATGCCCGCGGAAAAAATATCGGAACTAGTCTCCGAGATAGTTGAAGCGTTTTCCCGTGGTATGGATCAAGCGGCCTACCTTAACAATGCCTCCAAGATTGCCATCCGCCATCTTATCGCCAAAACACAGTTCAAAGTCTTAGGGGCCTTTTGGATGAACGACAAGAGCCTTTTGAACGAATATATACGAAAAATACCTTCAAACTTTAGTACCACTGCCTTAGACACCTACGTTCTCACCTTTGAATACAACTTCTTGTCAACGCTAACCAGAAGTTCTTACGAGCGGTGGTCTCACACAGCTTTCAGCACCAACTGCTGGTTCGAGCGTCACCCGAGAACCATATACGTGCCAATGCTTCTTTTCAACTCGACTTTGGCACTCGACAACAGAACCGATAGCTTCCAGCTATCCCGGGCTGGGGTACGTGTTGGCCGCTGCATCTTCGAGATGCTCCTTTCTGAAACCGACGCCGTAGAAGACTCAGGGCAGTGGCTGAATGAAGAAACTAAGTTAAAATTGAACGAAGTACTGCGTTGTCTCGGTGACAAAGACATTGGACAAGAAATGAAAAAACTTCCTGAGGTGTCGGCGACACATTTCACTTTTAGTCATTTTCAAAAGATTGTGAAGAGCTCCGCAGAAGAGCTACGACTCACATTGGCTAGGAACGAAGACTTTGGGGCAGGAAAGCTTTTCTTTGTTTACTTGGCTCTCCAGTCTTGTGAGAAAAAAACTGCAAAAACTGAGTTACGTTTGCCGGGTCGTGAAACCTTTTTTAATGACGCGTTGCGTCAGGAACCCGGCTTTCACGAAGAATTCAATTGCTCTACAGGAAGTTCCATGTACCCTGCTCACCAATGTGTTCTGTGAGGTATTCAGACATTTGGCAAAGACGAACCGTGTTCTGGTATATTTGTTTGGAAACATATTACGGTTGTATGTAATATATAATATATTGTTAGAACGATCTCTTATTTGATCTTCTTGATACGTCTTGAGTTTATTGATAACAGGCAAAATTCAACATGAGTGACCAGGCGCTAGATCCACAATCTTTGAAAACTGTCGCGCTTACATACGCGGACATGAGAAAAAAAAAAGGCAACCGAATGCCCTAACAACTGTTTAATCGTAAGAAATACACGCGAATAGAGAGTTTTAGTATTGCGTATAAGACCAAACACAAGCCCTTTACGTTAGCGTTAACGCTGCGTCCTCCGCACTGCGCAGGTGCCATACGTACGTACTGCAGCGAGCTATGCGTACGTACGCTCGCTATCGATTTTGGTGAGCGTACGTAGTGGTCCCTTGCGTGCCATTCTCGTTGCTTTCGTCGAGCACGAGAGAACGCGAGACTATTCCAGTTCGAAAAATGGCGGCCGTGAGGCAAACCAGTGGAAGTGCTACGCGCGTTGTACGGGTTCGCTTTATCATTGAAGTAGACCTTAAACTTATGGGAGAAAAAGAAAGAAGAAGGAGAAAAAGGCGAAACTCGTGGCGGGCGAGGGCACGCGGAGTTCGGAGCTGGAGAAAGACGAAAGAGCCGGTACCGAGCAAGGCCTCCAACTGAAGACCCGGACCACTCGACAGCCTTGACCCTCCTCTTCGTCGGACTCTTAACTTAAGTACACATTAAACCTTTTCCCAATGGTAGCGCTTCCCCGTGTGACTTCCTCGGGGCGAGGGGAACTCGGCCTGATCGGGCGGTATTGAGAGGCGACCCACAACCTCCTCAAAGAAATCAACGCGACGAACCCTTTCGAGCGCCCACGATGATGGGTGTCAATAGCCAAGAACGTTGACGACGCCGTCGAACCCAAAAAGGTGTTTACCGTGCGGTCGGTACGCGAGTGGCGCGACCTATTGCTTGCATACTTCCAAGCAAATGACGAGGCCAACATAAGGTAGTAGGGAACCCACAACAGACTGGAGCGAACCATAGATCAAACTGCTGGTCGCACAGTCCTAAAAAAAAAGACAAAACACGTTTTGCATCCTGGACCGAGGATCCCAGGCAGACTGCATTTCCCTAGATTTTTCCAAAGCGTTCGATAAAGTATCTCATAAACTACTTCTGAAACTGTCCAAGCTTAACATAGATGCTAACGTTCTGGCATGGATTCAATATTTTCTATCATTACGGTCACAATGTGTTATAGTAAATAATAGTAATTCTTCCTTTTCGTCTGTGGCCTCTGGAGTTCCCCAAGGATCTGTTTTAGGACCTTTACTTTTTTAATATATATTAACGACCTCCCTCTTAATGTTTCCTCGTCAATTTTTTCATTTGCTGACGAATGTGTGATTTACCGTGAGATACTTAATGATCACGATAACATCATGCTTCAGTCTGACATTAACGCTATCTACCAGTGGTGTGACGTATGGTCTATGACGCTAAATACTAACAAATGTAAGTCCATGCGTGTATCTCGGCAGTCACCTGAAACTCGGAACTACTTTCTTTATCAGGCTCAGCTTGACAAGGTATATTCTTACAAATATTTAGGTGTACATATAACTTCTAATCTCTCATGGAAAACACATGTACATTATATCACATCTAATGCTAACCGTACGTTAGGCTACCTCAGGTGTAAGTTTTCATTAGCACCCGTTTCCCTCAAGTTAATTCTTTATAAAACTCTAGCTCGACCGAAGTTAGAATATGCAGCCTCTGTCTGTGATCCCTGACAAGCCACTCTCATCACCGCGATGGAAGGCATTCAAAATCGATCCGCTCGTTTTATCCCTTCTAATTATCATTATACATCTAGCATAACTTCTATGAAATCTGCTTTGTCACTCGCGCCCCTCTTTATTTCACGCCTCTCTTTATTTCACAAATTTTATTTTTATAACTCTGTGCTTCGCGACAAATTAATCACTCGTCCCTTTTATATTTCTGCTCGTCATGATCATCAGCACAAAGTTGAGGTACCAGTCGCTATCACATCTACATTCCAATCTTCTTTCCTTCCTCGCACATCCCTCGACTGGAACCACCTTCCCGGGCCCATTGCATCCATAACTGACAGTGTACTTTTTAGGTCTGCTCTTACCAATCATTTTTTTTTTGCTGATTGTGAATATCCATACATTACAGTGGTTTGATCCCAACTTTGCTCTTCCCCTCTGTAATGCCTTCGATCCCTGACGGTAAGCAAATACATAAATAAATAAATAAACAACAGGCAACTGGAAAGATATTCACGCACTTCGTAGCAAAGCGAGGAGATTCGCGGTGTTAAATTGGCTTGACCGAATACCCGCCTTGAATTGTTTAAAGCAGTTCGCAGGAGCACATCCATATGGCGCTGCAAGTCTTTACGTATGCGTTTGGCATCCGCTATACTAAAAGTGGGCGGTTCAACGCGCTCCGTAGCGTTACGTCGACAGCTTGCGTGCGTTGTACGCAGTGCTGACGCAAGGGTCTTTACACTATTCTAAAACTCTCTAATATATGCTTTGCGTTACCGTACCACTAAACAAATTCAGTACACCGCTGCTGCTCCCAAAAAATGTAATTGTATCCACCTAATCAATTGAAGCCACTTTGATGCATTCCCGCCTTACATTTTTATTATTTGTTAGCCTTTATCATTTCGTTTATTGCTTTGTCTTCATGCCCGCTCATAATTGTGCATGTAGTGTACACATGTTTTCACCCGCCGTCATGACAATGCATCATCGAGTTATTAACAATAAACGCTAGAGGTTCAGGTGGCACTATTGTGCTGTGTCATTTTGAAGCGGACATCAACTAGTCTAAATTTGGCTTCCGGTAATACATTCCTATGGGAAAACGCAAATGCGTTTTCTTTTCGCTCTCGATAATAAAAGCAAATATTGCTCAGTATTTTGACAGAATTTAAAACTTGGAGCGTTTAACAATCGGATGTAAAAAAGATATATCAGAACTTTTCTCTCTAGAATGCATGGCGTCGAACACTGCGCAAAAATAGCCCAATAAAATGTATAATATAATTTGACGTTGCAGACTGCTATTACTGGGCACGTATTTACGCATATGGCCAATAATATGAAGGACACAGAGTGAATGACCGTGGCAAAACACCAAAAGGATTTTAATATATGCCAAATCGAACAACCAAAACAGACGGCAAGGGCGAAGCATGGAGTTATGGAACGAACAACACGTACTGGAGTAGTAAAAAGCTTTGCCTGAGTAATCAATATAAATCAGTATCCGAGTGTTGTTTCTCTGAAATAAATACGATTTTTTGTTCTTTTTGCTTGAATTGATACTTGTATTGACATATCAGCCTGTATAACATAGACTTGGGCCTCAATGTTTGCCAACTTAAACATCGCTCAGTAATAACAAAAGTAAATGAATTTCGCTTTGATAATGCTCACTTTTATCAGTGTAACTAGCCGAAGCCATGGCAGTGCTCTTCACGATAGAGAGCCGCTTAAGGCGCTTGCAGATGACATAAAGGCAGCACAACGCAAATCAACTATACATATTTACGGACTCGCAGCACGTCATCCGAGAATGCAAAACACGCAGAGCCACGAGGTGCAGAACCATCAAACGCATTTTTCACACGGCTCAGCATCTATTCCATGCACACGAAAAAAGGTCTGCATCTGATAGATCCCGGGAAACAGGAGCATTCACGGCAACGAGGCGGCGCATGACGCGGCCGGAAGGGAGCTAAACAGTCCTCACCCCTCGCGTACGTGGCACCGGAGAATCCGACCCCTCATCGACTGACAGTGAAACTGCCGATAAAACGTACGTCCCGGTTGAAGCCATGCGGATGCATTAAAAAGGAACGGAAAGCACTAACTAAAGGAATCCTGGAACACCAAATCAAATCCCATTCCACCGAACCACTTCTAACGCAAGAAAATGGTAATATTACGACGAACTCGTATGGGTGGCGCAACAACGCCATTAATGGCTCAAAAGTTTGACACCATCAAGAAAAGAAAGCTGGACCCTAATTACGAACCCTCCGATCAAAAATGCCAAATATGCAAAGGAGACGGTACACTCTCAAAACTTTACCACCTAATTTGGGAATGTGAGGCTCTCGACACACAAAGGAGCAATACTTGGGCCCAGCTGGGCCGAGACTCTCTTAGCTTCTACGAGGAATGGATCAGACCTGGCTGGCGACTCTGAAAGGCGAGTCCGAATCTTATGGACCCTGCCCGATTACACGACGTCGGGCGACCTCCGTCAGAACATTTACAAAGGAGGCTTTCTAAGGGGACGGTTTGGTGAATTAGCCGCTAGTTGATTTATACAGCAGGAGGTTAGACCGCCAGAACATGGCGACGTTGTTACCCACTGTAGATAAGCAATTTAGTCAATGCAGTGCGACTTCTAAGCTGGGGTCTTTAACGTGCACCACAAAGTAGTGATACACGACCACACGCCGGTATGATGCTCATCCAGATCGAAACGGGCAGAAGTGGGGATTGAACACAGGATCCCTGGGTTCTGCAGCGCGAGCTTTATTTCTAAATTACCGTCCCTGCTCCTATCGCACAGTGGCCAATGTGACTGTCGGAATTGTCTCGTCCCCGACAGCGATTGCGCTCAGGGGCAAGGACTGAACAGTACGAAATCGTGACGTAAAGTGCGTATATTTACAGTATGGAATTTCGGCATTAAAAACAATAGTAGGTAAAATCGAAAAAAAGCTACCCTTTAGTTTGCTGTTTAATTATGCTACGGTTGCTGGAGAAGCTGCCCTCCGTGGCGCGCTGGGATGAGCGCTAGAAGTTTTCGGGCTCGCCACGGCGTAGTTCCGTGCACTTAACACCTGCCGCAAGTCGCGGCTTTGACTGCATTCAAGTTGATCGAAAAGCAATTTCTCAGTCCGTGAAGCATC